ATCTTTTTAAATTAACAATTATTGTAAATCAATACTTATTCTAATAAAGTATATTTGTTGTTTATTAAAAAGTTTATTTACTTTTTTATTTAATCTATTAAACGTCGATGTTCGATCAACCTTGCTCTATATTGTTTTGTTGGAGGAAAAAAAATTAAGTTTCTGAAGGGAGCACTGTATTGTTTTGTTGGGTGCCACCATATAGTTTATGAAATTGAAACGTTGGACTAAATCTCTAATGGCAGAGTTGATAAATGTTGCTGACTTTGTACGAAAACCCCGTGTTCAAGTCCTATCAATGTCGATTTTTTTAGTTTTCAGCTTAAATTTTGGTTTTTTTATGTTTTAGAAAAAAAATTAAAATCTCAGACTCGAAAATGAGTCCTTTATGTACAAGGACAATGAACCAACCAATCAATCTATGCCACTAATATGAAGTATTTCAACAGGTTTGTTTTTATAATAAATTATGTCACAACCTAAAAAAATTATGGTTCCGTCTCTGACTGGTTCTTGTTATAAGTATTATATGTAAATTTATTATCTTAGAAAAACATCTTTGGAAAAAGAATTATTTAAATTATGTAAATTTACTTATGAAAGAAACGGCTAAAAGGTAAATACAATGAGTTAACCACAAGGGTGGTGTTTGATTGGTTTGAGCTTGGCTCCAAAGGTCAAAAGTATCAGGAGATCGCAGGTTCAAATCTAAGTAGGAATAAAAATTCCCTTGTAGCCACGGAGATTTAAATACGATGACTTCGAACTATCTGCAAAGCAGGTGGTCGTTCTGGGATTAATCAGCTCGTATAGCGGATTGAATATTCAGGTTAATAAAAAAATACAATGAGTTGAAATGGCTATTTGTATCGTTTTCTGTTTTTGAATTATTTGCAAAACAAAAGCATTGGTCTATTTTTAAATCTTTAAAATTAAAAAAATATTAAAAATACAATTATTTATCTTTTACAGATAAGTCATACACCTTTAACTTTTAGTGAAGAAAGATTTTACAAATACTAAGGGGGTGTTTGGGAAAGCTTATTTAAGGTGCTTATCAACTTATTTCAGTCCACAACCACCGATAAGTTATTTTGAGTGTTTGGATGTGAAAAAAAAAAACTGCTTATACCGGTGCCAAACCGGTAATAAGTTGTTTTTGATAAGTTACTCCCTCTTGACTTATTTGACATATTACCCTTTTAACCCTCTCATCGCATCCGTCTCTCCTCTCATCGCATCCGTCTCTCCCCTCTCATCGCCGGCAAGTCCTCTGGTTTCTCATCGCCGGCTTCCTGCTTCTTCCTTCGCTTTGCATTTTGCTTCCTGCTTCTTCCTTCGCTTCCTGCTTCTTCCTTCTTCCTGCTTCTTCCTNATGCTTTACCTGCGTATCAACTGATATAGGGTAGAAGATAACCTAAAAATGAGCTGTCCTTTTTGGTCATTTTGCATTTTGGTACCGCTATAAGCTAATCCAAACACTTTTTACAAAACTCCAGTTTGATACCGCATAAGTTAATTAGCACTTTTACAAAAAAGTATAAGTTGTTTTAAATAAGCTTACCCAAACACCCCCTAAGATTGTAATCTAGGACTTTAGTATCCATTAATACTTATACTATATTATAAAGCATTTGATAAAAATTCTTAAAACTTATTTTTTATGTATAAAGTGTTGTTTATTAATGCATATTACTTAAAATTTAAGATTTCAAGTAATTGTTCATAAATACAACTTATTAAAGCTTCATATTTGAATTTGTGTAACTAACTGCATATAAACATAATCAAATATTGGATAAACATCTCATTTTAAAATATAAGAAATCTAAAATATAATTAGAATAATCATTGAGTTCTAATAGATTACTTAGTTAATAGAATACTTAGTTATTATTTTTATAAAAAATTATATTATTAAACCTAAATTAAATTACTTCGTTACTAAACCTAAATTAAATTATAATTAAAAAAATTGAATTAAGAAAATTACACAAAAAAAAAGAACTTTTCAAAAGGTAATTTGATACTGATATCGATATATTTTTTTTAAATTTTTTTATGTATTTTCAAATTTATATTTTATTCAAAAATAAAAACATTATCGTTTTCTCAAAACCACATAAAAACGTATTATATCGACATAAAAAAATAAAATAAAATATTAAAATCAAGATGTATCTCAATGTATTACACAAGTACCATTCTAATTATATAATAAAGAAAACCATATTTGGTGGGGGAAAGTGATATAATTTCAAACTCAAAACTTATCTTCTTTGACCTTCTTGCAATCTTCTGGTATTTATCCCCCCACTTATGAAAGGCATTTAAATATTGATTTTTATAGTCACTTAAATAAACTATTTATATTAGAGTTTTTATAACTTTTTATCTATAAAGATCGTTAACTTAACCATAAGAGTGGTGTCTGATTATTTTGAGTTTGGCTTCAAAGGTTAAAAGTATCATGAGGTCTCAGGTTCAAATTCAATGAGGAATAAAAATCTTCTTGTGGCCACGGAGGTTCAAATGCGGTGACTCCAGACTATCTGCAAAGCAGGTGGTAGCCCTAAGATTAGTCGGCTCGCATAGCAAGTTGGATATCTAGATTAATAAAAAAATATAGTCTGTTAATCTCCCATGTATCCTTTAGATGAGGGGTAGATTAGTCTTTTTACCCTCAATTTTTCTTCCACATCGAGAACATTCATCAACCACCACCAGCACCGAGTGACGAGCACTCATCGCCACCACCAACCATTTATGCAAATATGAAGTCAAAGAGTATTTAAAAACATTTAAACAATTCTAAAGAATCTCAAGAAAATACTGGAAAATTAGGTTTATAGGACACCAAAAACTTTCAAGTGTCTTAATAGACCGTTTTATAAGATTTAATTTATAGGACTAAAAATAAAGTTGTTCTAATAAGTTTTTAGGATGCTTTTGGACGTTGTAATAAGTTTTTTAAGACATTTTAATTAAAAAAAAACATCGTATTAGCTATTTTATGATACTATTTGAAAATGTGTCTTATAACATCAAGTGTTTTATAAAAAGATGAGTTTATAAGACACTTTCTTAAAAATGTCATACAAAGTGTCCTATAAAATAGTTAATACAAAGTTTGTATTAAAAATGTCCTAAAAAACTTATTAAGATTCCCAAAAACGTGTTATAAACTTATTACAACGTTTTTAGATAAGAGGTTTTATTTTTTTGTTCTATAAAGTAAGTCTTATAAAACAGTCTATTAAGACGCTTAAAAATTGGTAGCGTACCACATCACTACTATATTGAGCATTATTAGCAACGCACCAAGCCGTTGTTAATCCGTCACTAAAGCTCAGATCCATTATTGATCCATCGCTGATAGTTCGTGGGTTAAAAGGGTGTGGGTGATACTATCAGTGACGAATATGTATCAGCAAAAGATTAGCAACGGGATACTATAACGACGAATCAACGATAGAAACTTTTAGCAACGGACAATATCAACGACGAATTAGCGAGGTCCCCTTTTAGCAACAGACTATATCAATGACGGATTTGTGAGGGCCTCTTTAGCGAGAGATTATAATGCTGGTCTATTTATT